AAAGCTAAAGGATTGTAATTTTAAGAGGATATTCCCCGTCCACCTAAGTCTCATTCAGCTCAAACCTAGCGTGGTACCCACGCACGGGCCCACCAAAGTTTTTCTCGGGTAAGTTGCTTAACCGAAAATCTGAAAAGCTAGAAGACTGTAGTTTTGGGTGGATTTCCCCCGTCCAAGTAAGTCTCAGCGAGCTCAAACCCAGACATCGGGTGTGCATGGTACCCACGTGCGGGCCCATGAAAATTTTCAGTAAGTTGCTAACTCAGGTGACAGGAAAGCTAGAAGACTGGAATTTTGAGGGGATGTTTCCTGACAGTTCTGGTGGCCAGTCTTAATATGTTTAGCTAGAAGCATTTGCCGAAAAAACCGGTGCCGGTAGCGATAAAAACTGCGGAAAACTGTGCAAAAAACGCATCTTCGCACAGGCAGCCTGTGGGTTGGCCAATTATTTCTTTCTTTTTTTTTTGGGCGCTTTGATTTCTAGACTTGCTTGCTTAGTTCATGCGTTGAGCTCCCGCAGCGTCTCATTTAATTCGTGAGTGCTCCTACATCTGGAAGCTTGAGTGGTTTAGGTCCTCGCTGTTGGTGTTCAATCTAGCTTCTCGATTCAGCTTGTGAAATACCGTCTCGAAAAAGCTTGGGCGATTTGGGACCTTACTGTCGCTTTGTACTGCTATCAAATTGGCGTAGGTAAAAGATTATGCTTAGCGAGAAGCATTTATCCGCTTCCTCATTGATTTCTACACCTTCACTTACAAAAGCTCGAAGCAGCTTTTTGCTCGACTGTATTAAGTGCTATTTCATAATCGAGGAATAGGAAATTGATTCGAAATCGGCCTTGCTGCTTTGGTTGCTTTTCATCGAGGAGTCTTTTTAACGGATTAATAATAGACTTCATGAGTAGTTTGCAAAGCATGCAAATCAAGCTTTTGTTTAAAATATTGTCTCTATCGCTTTTTTTTCTTAAGTTTTCTTTGTCTCTCTTTGGCAAATATCAACAGGATCAAATTGCATGAGTATCTGATTGACAGTGCAGATGGTAGTGCCACTTTGTAAGTTGTAATAAATGAGTTACTGATTGTCGGTAAATTAAGGCACTGCGACCCATGAAGCTACTTTCGCCCTGTTGTGGCTCTTCATCCGGTGGCACAATGTTTCTGACTGGCACTACCTGAAAATTAGGAAACGAAGAAAAAAAAAATCGAACAATCTCCAGCCAATAGTTTGAGGTGCCTTCTACAGTGTGAAACTCGTGGCACTG